GCGGCATTAAGTACTTCAGCCTTGATATACTTCAGAATGGCCGAAGAACTTGGTCACAAATATAAATCAGAAAATTTGAAGCACTCATGTGAAGAAAACCTACAAAAAGACATACTTCTTCATCTGAAAGGTATATAACCTCCAGAGCAGAGTTTTTCTTACAGCACATTTTTATCATATAACACAGCTGTCTTTAACTATGACATGCTTGAACAGGAATTGATTGAATACTATATTCAGTGCAATACTTACAGGAATCCATTTCCCTTGCAAGGACATGTACTGATACCTTGTGTCTTCTGGGAGCATCTATTGCCAACAGCACCTATAGTAAAAACATCAAGTCCTTCAGGTGTAGGAAGTACCGCTCAGACATTTTATTTACAAAACAGTAAAAGAATGAGAGCGTTTAAATTTTAACTTAAGCTTTAAAATGAGGGATGAATTTAGGGATGTCCCTTGAAAGAGTATTGGAAGCCATCCATACAGTATCCTGAATTATTTTACATCAAGTTAAGAAATTCTTGTACTGTTTGGAACTCAGGAAAGCTGGAAGTAATAGGAATTCAGCCATTAACTATCATAGTGTCAAGAATGCAACCTAAAATCTCTGCAGAATTTTCAGACCCTACCAGCATTCTGGAAGCACATCACCCTGAACACAACTCAGCTGTTCTAGCTCAGTAACCTGACCAGCTATTTCTGCTCTGGAACACCAGATAATCATGCACTGAGCGTTAGTGTGAGTGAAGTAATATAGATTCCCACAAAACCAGCATGTTGATACTTGAACAACTTATCATTTATTAAGCAACAGCTACTGAAATCCATTTACGACGTTTGTACTTGCTGCATACCTTCACCCATGCTATCATACTATTAAAAAACCCAACCCCCACAAAGTTGTTTGTGTCCACTGTGCCATGCAAATAATAAACAGCTTTACTCATTAAGACTTAATCTCATAAAAATTTAATTGCCTGTGAAATTCGTTACAAAACAGAAAGCACGGGGACAGGACATGCGGGACGCCCTAGTGTTTCAATTGCTTGTATTTGATATCTATCTAGCACCTTCACGCTGAGTTGCAGTGTAAAATTATTAAACCATTATGCTGTTCCTTCGGTCTATCTAACTATGACAGGAAGTAGAAGTGTTGATTTACAGTGGACAGAGTTTTAAAAATATCTGTTTCATTCACAATTCATGCACACAAAATAAGGTGAATCATTCAGTGGTTGAAGAAATAAGAAAGGAAAAAAAAAAGGCAATTTTGGCCAAGCTTGGTCATAGAACATCACATTTATTTATTCAGAAAGAAAGGATAAATGAGACAAGAAGAGAGTAAGCACTGGCAAGAAGGGGGGGAAAAAAAAAAAAAAGGTTAAAAACCCCACCCACCACAACAAATCAAATCCTTCTCCACAATTTTTACAGTATTCTAGTTGCCATTAAACTAAGTAAGAATCAGAAAAAAAAATTATTGAAAGTACCTGCATCAATCATGTCATCTACCCAAAACAGGCCCAAGAATATGCTTTCACAGTTCACACAAATAATATATTACATCTCCTTACAAGTAATATTTTAACTACACGACTAGCTTACCTTGTAGAACTGTATAATATCATCCTTGGTCAGGGTCTTTAGATAAGCCACTTCAATGTTATCTGCACAACAACAGTAAAAATTGCAACAAGTCTGCAAATCATAGCTCATTATTAGCACATTACTTATTCAAGTATTTTTCCTTCCAAATTCAGAGGCTGTAACTGACTGCAAATGGTATGCTTTTCATGCTTAACCTTCAAGCTAATACGTACATCACTCAAAGTGTCATTGGAAACTTGGCAGAAAATTATACTTCAGTCCATTTGATTGGACTTAATAAAAAATGCATGTTTGAAGAATACTGATTGCACTGCATGTTATTCAGTAGCTAAACCCAATACGCCTACTTCTCTACATTGTCTTCAAATCAATGTCACAAACTTCTAACGCAGACTGATTACAGATGGCTTTTATGCACAGGTAGGAAACTAGATAGTAACATACACTTTGGCACAATGTACTTTTAAATAAATGTAAGTAACCATGCCTCTATCATACCCGATAAGGAATAATCACCTTTAAGATACCTGGGGACAATGCGCCTCAGTAGCTACATCAAGTCATATAAATTAAATTGTAATGAACTAATCATGTAATATCATTGCTGTATAAGCAGAAATTATTTTTGTTGTAGGCATGCTTGCTTTTCATAGGGTTAGCAGGAAGGTCAAGAAAGAAATGCATACAAGCGAACAAATTAGCTAACAAGTCTGTGAGGCATTCGCTAAGTAATTAACATGAAGTTCTACACAGAGGAAATTTTTAAAAAATATCAACAGAACAATTTGGAAAATTATATTATATTTGTGATAAAACTGTGAAATGAAGTAAACCAGTAAAAGTAGTAATAAATATCTAAAAATATGAAGAAAATACCCTTCACTTCTTAAGGCTGGAATATGAATTTCTGATTTTGACAATTCTAGTCATACTAGAATCATTAATGAAATAAAATTACTAGCGAGTAAAGGGGAATGAAAGACATAAAAGCCAAGGGAAGTAATAAGTTGAGTGGGATTTAGATAGGGAAGATATGGCTACAGCTAGCAGTAATATGGGAAAAGCAAAAACATTTAAGGCAGAGAAAAATGAAACTGTTTCATCAGATGCAAAAAAATACTCAAGGGCATAAGTTTCCACGCCACTCCTTACACTTGGGCATGAAACCTTGCCAGTAGCTCTCATTCTTCCGAGACCATGCTAGACGACAATTCAAAATACTTCATTATGGCACAAGTTCACTTAAGTCACTGACGACCAAAGAAAACCTGTATTTACTATTATGGAAGGCCAATACTGTGCAGGTAAAGCAGAAGAGAAGTTATGGGATGCACCGTGAGTTTCATACAGGAAGCATATTATGCATGGAAGATGGAACACATTACAGCTGTGAATAAGAGCTGACACATGAAAATGTGAGAAAAGCTGATCTGTACCTAATACTGATTTTTTTTTTTAAGGGTAGGAACTGTATTACTAATATACCTTAGTATTTTGGATTAAAAATCTTCAAACAATGATGAAAATCGGAAAAGTACAACTTAAATACTATGTAGGATCACATGTAAATAACAGTCAGTCCATTTTCAGTAATAACACTAGAAGTTGGATCTCAACTGGGTCTTCTACAAGCTCATAAACATCAGTGTCATGGATGAACAAAACAAATCATTTCTTCAGGCCTACTGTAAGCTGTCACATGTCATTAAAGATATTGCTCTTGCCTCTGCCATTGCTCCCTCAAAAGAACTGTGCAATGGGAAAAGGAATCGGGTTGATGTGAACGTGCACTCCGTCAGGAATGTCCACGTCTATGTGAATGCATCTCAGTCAAATATTAGGCACAGATGTACTACAGACATCTGAACATCACAGAAAGAAATGTGAGCTTATGTGACATCAACATTTGCATGCAATCCACTTCCAATCCTTGACCTACTCTATGTCTCACTGGGCCCTAAGTGAAGGAACAGAAGGTCAATGAAACATTCACCAACCCACATCATATGGTGAACAAGAGGGAACACATTTATCCTCTATTACAAACGGCTCCCGCAACAGTGAGAGCACAGGCTCCACAAACAAGGTATTTTCTCTGGGCAGAAGGAAGAAATACAACTTGCAGGACACAAATCACACACACAAAAATATGGACAGGATACACTAAAGTTTAAGTTCTTCCCAAATGAATGTGTCAGTCACAAGTGTAGCCAAACTACAGCAGTCAGTTTTAAAGGAATTATAATTTGTCTTACCTCTGTCGAAGTTATACTGCTGGGAAATGATTTCTCCCCAGTATTTAGCACATTCTGCAGACAGCTTCTTTGGTTTGTCTAGACGACGAATTGCTAAAGCTTGGATGTGTTTTTGGAAGGCCTCTTCTGTCATGTCTTCTATGCATTTCTCCATAGTTTTTAAGAATGCTTCAACTCTGCTCTCTAAATAGTGTGGTGGCTTTTCAGATTGGATAATAAATCGCAGTCCTTGTATGCCATTTGCCCGACGTGGACCACTGAACACAATGTAGCCTTAGCAAAACAAGAATAGTCACAAATTAAAAGAAATCCCTTGTTCCAGCATTAAGTTTGCCAAACATGGCATGTTTGACAGGGATGCAATTTTATGCTAAGTTAATTCTGTATTATAAATGAAATAATATTTTAAAAAATTATTTTCAAAATATGCCACTGTATTTTTTAAAACATCTTTATTTCACTGAGGTAGACATGAGTTCAGGGGAGGGATTAGGAGGAGATGAGGCAGACCAAGATGGAACAGAAGGAATTCTGTCATCATGATTAGGTAACCAGAAATTAAGCTATACGCTGGTGCTTCAGTTAAGACTCAACTTCAGGAACTTACTTTTGTTTTTTCGTAACATCTCATCTGAATTCTCTTTAATGCAAGATAAGACTACTATTTCTCATCTTATTAATTAGACACAAAGAAACTTTTATTCCCTTCCTTTTTGTTGCAGCTTTTGCTTATCTGAACACCAAGCCTTTTTTCAGTCTTTGTTTCCTCTTTTAATAACATATCTTTCACATTTCAGTCTTCTAAACATTGTTTTACAGGTCTCTAATCGTTCCCTCATGCTCATGTCAGAACTGGATACAATATTTCAAAGTCCTTACCTGAACAACAGTATTATTGTATGTACATCTTGGAAGCTCCCAATTATATATATGCCCCAGCGTTTTGCACAGCCACATGATCCTGATGATTTATGTCCTACTTCTGATCCACTGTAACCTGTAGATTGCTTTCTACATAACTGCTATCTAGCCAAGTTGCTTCCTACCTTTTATCTGTGCCGTTGATTATTCTGGCCAAACTGTTCCTACTAAACTGCATTTTATCTTCATTCAAGTCATGTTTCCAAAATGTCAAACTAATTTTGAATTCCAATTCTATCTTCCCACACACTCGCAGCCTCTCCCACTTTAGTATTATCTGAAGATTTAGTAAGTATATTCACTCTTCTATCATCCAGAGTTTTGACGAACATACTGAATAGCACTGGATCGCTATTCAGAAAAATACACCATTTTTCCAATGAACTATTCTTATCTATTCTCCAGTCCTGACTTTCCAAACAGTCTTGCAGCCAAATAGGTAGCACTTCCACCCAGGTGCTATCTCTAGCTTGTTTGAGAATGTTACGTGCCGTTCGTGCTATCAAGAAGAGATCACATGACATCATCACTTCCATCCATACAGCCAAACTCTATTTCTACAGCAAAAAAAGGTTAGTTTGACCAAAGTTTGTCCAGTAATAGTCTCACTTATATTCCATGAATTTAGAACTGATTTGATAACTTACTCCATATTTTCCAGGAATTAGAATTAATGACAGATCTGTAATTTCCATGCTCTTCTCTTTCCTTTTTAAAGGAAACATACAACATTCACTTGTGTTTGTTTTTCCAGTACCTCATCTCTCATCCACAAATACTGTTATAAGATTATCAGTTTTTTTAATATAACGTAGTGTTCATCATGGCTGAACTCTTTAAAAGCTTCTAATTTACCTGAACAACCTTTAATCTATTACTTTCCTGTTCAAAGGTCAGCCTTGGACTTTTTACATCTTTCAGACTTATCTTTAAAATGATTCTTGCTTCTTCTCAATTTAGAGGTCGTGCACAGTAACATTCCTTTGAGTCATCCTTTGAGTTAACATGATTTACATTTACCAAGTGCCCTTTAAAAGGCATTTACTAAGCAGGGAAAGGACACCTTGCCATGTCTCATGTAAGCGCGTGAGTACGCGTGCACGTGTGTATGCAGACACAATCACTATGGGAAAACTTACCTAATTGTTCCTTGGTGCGCAGAGTATTGAAGCATGGTTCCGAGATAATTTGACAAAAGAGCTCCAAAAACATGTTTTCAGAAGTGCTCTGCATGTCTGTCTGGTAGTATATTTCAATGCCACAATTGTTATGAACTTCATTTCTCTGTTGATACACAAACCAGCCTCCTGAAAGACAAAATATTTTAAGTTCATAAAATGTACATTCTTACTGTCCACAATTAAAAGGACAGTGGTCTATCGCTTGTGGAATGGAATTATAATAAATGGTTCTGTTACAGCAGAATTTCCGTAACAGCATACTTTTCATGATACAAGTAAAAACGATTATTTTAACACATCGAAATGTCATAGTTTGAGTATATCAGCAAGTAAATTGAAATTGGCTGCTTCTCCTCAAGGAAGTATTTTTGGAACTGGAGTGGAATCCTGCATTGCCTCTACTGTGTAAATAATGTCTAAAGACAATTTGTCAGAAACATTTATGAACTTTAAAAGTAATTCAGCATTTAATACCAACAGCCTCTTTGGTGTATGGCAGTTTCCACAGGGTGATGATCAGCGATGGGTAATTGGTTCGGCTGTACAGCTACGTATGTCATCATTCCCGTGTAACTCCTAGCAATTCCTTGAACATCCTTTCTTATATTTAAGATTTTTTTCACAACAGAAATAAAATCATATACAAACACTATGACACCAACAAAATTTATATTAGCAAAGATCAGAAGTTACTGGTGTAAGATCTTTCATTTTTCTTAAAACGCAGGAGTCAGTTAGGACATTCCTTCACTGAACGGTCAATTAATACTCAGAAGTGCTCAAAGAGTGGTGCTTATTCAAATAGGCATGCTATGTGTAGCAGAGAGAGGGGCAGGGCTCTTATTTCCATAAATCATACTGACTGCATTAGGATCGAAATACAGAATCACAGAATGGTTTGGGTTGGAAGGGACCTTAAAGATCATCTAGTTCCAGTCCCTAAGAAATCCAGTTTACACAGATTAAAAATGAAATCAAATTCATTTTCAATGTAACAGAAAGATGATATATTAGTGTATAATTTTATTAATAAAACCACATCCTATTTTTTAATTTAGATTTTAAAATAATTTCAAGTAAGTCTGATTTTGAAACAAACCCCTAGCAGCAGAGTAATATTGTTTTAAAAATACCATTACCAAACAGAGAATCCTAATTTATGTGTGTTAAAAAACTGCAAATAAATAATTTAACTTACTGTCAGGAAGTTGCACTTCTCTGTATCTCACGAGCTGGCTGGGAAGGAGTGGCTTTGTATGAGCGTGCTCAATCAGAGTGTCCTCAACCATCTGCATAATTCCTAATGCAGCCTGGAAGAGGAAACATATGGGGATTTTTAATGAGCGTTAGTTATTCTGTACCCAACAGCAGGGTAAGACTTTCCAATTATTGATGGTGACATGAGAGAAAAGAAAAAAATAAAAATCAAGAACAGAAAGTAGGGATACTGTAATTTAATAAAAATACAGTAGAAGTACATGAGAGGGAGTGGGGGCTTGGGGGCCGAGGGTTTTGTGGGTTTTATTTACATTTATTTTGTTTACATGTTTAACAACTACTACTCCTCCACAAGGCTTTTGAAATTAAAGTTCAGAGGGCCTTTTTTCCCTTCCCTTCACCACTCTGACATACTCATCTTTCAAAGTTTGAAAACGAGATCCCTATAGTGTATGTTTGCAAAGCAAATGACACCTCATCGTTTGGAATTTTAAGAAAACAAATTAATGGTTGAGTTCAGACATGCATTCCATTGCTGTGCTGGGAGTATTAGGACTCAGTGCCCAGATACTTTCTTTCATTTGACAGATTATAATACTGATAATTAAGAACCGTAAGTAGTGAAAAAAATTTAAAATCCTTAGTTTCATTCAAGGATTTCACTTCAAAAGCTTTATCTGTTAGAAGTTACGGGTTTTTGTAGCCTGCATACTGGAAATTACAGTAACTTGCTACGTAGTTTTGACTGAAAGCCAAATGTCTAAGTCTGTGCTGCCACAAACTTGCAACACAAGTGATCTTATCAAAAACGTGCAAAAGGTCTTACAGCTTAATGAACACATTAGCCCACTCCCCCCTCAGCCCCACACAATATCAAAGTCAAAAAGGTTGACGTATAAGGGTTTGAAAGGTTAAAGAGCAATACTATATATTCTTCCAATCAAGTCACCATATTAAAACAAAATATTTACAAGATTGTTCAGACAGATGTTCTGAACAGGATTAGTTTACTATTTATCCCCTTGCGACAAATAACTAAAAGGAACAGTCAAAAAACCAAGTTTCAGAATAAAGTTAACTCAGGAAGAAATGCAAATTTTAAGCAGCTAGACAGGTCTAATCTTTCAAAAAGTGCAGATGCACTAAAAATATTTTCAGTACTGAAAAGTGTCACAAGGGCATGTCAATTTTGATTCAATTTTAGTTGGAAAACTTTCTTAGATCCTGAGCTTTCTCAGTGATGATCACATCATGGGCACTGAAGAACAGTTTTCCTACCTGCATCTATTCTAGGAGGTTTGCAGATCATTTCTAAACCCTACACAGCGCTGGGCATGCCAGTACATCCTTCCTAGTTCTCTAGCTCTAGGACTCTTCAATAGCCACACCTTTATGACAACTAAAAGGTGCATTTCTCAGCTAGGACTGCATCATCATAGAAATCATAAAAATCTGGTCATTCAGATTTCAGAAGGAATTAACTTTCACATGCAAATGTGTAAGAAATCAGGAAAGAAAAAAGCGAGACTATTTTTCACGTCTCCACATGAAAAATACAGTATAAAATTTAAGAAAATGTATTTTCGCAACATCCTTGAAAAAGAAAACTTTGTGCATCCAGTGCTATTTGCTCCTTTATTTTTCCCTTCCTTACTAGTTAACTTTCTTCTCCATACACTCAGCAGTTACTACAGAGTGTTTGTAACACTTCCTGCTAGCAAAGTCTCGCAGAGCTGGTATAACATAGAAACACTGCTATACCAGCCCTACAAAAAAACCAGAATCGAAAATGTACAAGAAAAGTACATTTTTGTATCAGCCGACACTTGGTTTTTATGGCCCACCATTCCTATTTAGGTTTGTACCAAGTATTTCATTTGGAAGGAACTTGGATTCTCAAACCGGTAGCCTGAAACTTCTAAATGGAAAAACAGCATTTGCAGCACACTGTTCCTTATGCAGCTTGATCACACTGCAGTCATGACATGCAACATGAACTTTGAAATATTTAGATCATAAGATGTATTTTTATTAAATTTCCAAGAGCAGCACTTAGCCTAATAAATCTAAAGCGGAAAAAATGACACTTTGATACTCCCATAAAGATAAAGAAGTACGAAGTCAAATTACAAAATCACATTTGGCAAAACTGCTTTAAGATCTGAAAAGATTAAACTAGTCTTCCATCATTTATGCTGCTTTTAAATAAAAACTGTTCTATTAAAGAAAGCATCACACCAACCTGTTTTGTTATATTGCCATGGAGAAGAGCTTCAATGTGTAACCGTGACAACAGCTGAGCTATAAAGGCCTTGAGGCGAGGAAGAGTGACATCTAGAATAGATATTTAGACAGCTAAATCAATTACAGGCATTACATTACAAAGTACCTAACTCATCATTAGATATGGTGCATTTCTCAGAGGAGGAGAAACTCATCACCACCAAAAAGTGAATCTCCCCTTAAAAGTGCAACACTGGAACGTTTCCAGGTCTAAATAGCAGCACTCGTCATATAGTTTGCTTCGCTTAGAATTCACATACCATCTGACCCAGATTCCAAAAAGAAAAGGAAAAAAAAACCCCTTCTTTCCAATCATGCTGAACAAACATTCATTCTCCAGAGAATACAGTTGCAATCACTCAGGTGGTGTTCCAAGATAAAGCCTTATTGACTAAACAAGCAGCATGTAGTTTATAATGCTGGAGAAACACACTGTGCATTTACCATCTAGGCTAAAAAAAGAACCTCGACTCAAATATGGTGTTTTGATAGCATCTTTGTAACAAACAAGTAAAATATTTTTGCAATACATCCCAGAGTACACATACACATGCATTCTATGCTAGCCTTTGCAAAGCACTTTGCATATATAATGCCAAGTATAGTTTAACATATAGAATCAACGGAATGAGAGGAAGGATGGCTGAATAGATGGGGCATTCATGCCAAAGTCAACATCTCCATTCTCAACTCCCTGACACTACAAGAATACCCACACAATATCGCCGAATCTGAGTTCTCATTGTCATCTTCTCAATTAAATAAAAACTAACAATACTCACGTATTTTATGTGTTTTGAAAAGACAAATGCAATCAAGACTATAAGGTCACTCAGTTATTCAGCGATCAACGCACACATATCTAACAGATCTGTGCTTTGTATTAGCAAAACCTACACTGTGCTTATCAGTCTTCCTCTCTTAAAAGGGGTGACTGGCCACGGGTAGAAAATTCATTTCCACATTTTTCCCTGATTCCAAATCAACTTTCATTGTTCTATAATTTTAATCCTAATTTCTGCCTCTAGAATTGCTTATTAATAGTGCAAGATTAGGGTCACATGGAGAGTGACAGAGGAAAAGAGAAAAAATAAAAAAACCACACAAACTCCCTGTATTTCAAGCTCATTTCCAGCAATGCTATGTAAACAGCATTTCTTTCCAGCATCCATTTTTTAGCCATTTTTCTGCTGAATACAGTAGCATTAATCTTATAAAGACAACCTGCAGAAAAGAGTATTTTTTTCAAAATTGCGTAGTCATTAAAAAAGGTATGACCTACACATAGCTGAACCCACTGCCATAAAAAAATTAGTTTTGTCACTGACTTCACAGGCAGCACTGCTAACCTCAGAGATCATAGAATGGTTTGGGTTGGAAGGGACCTTAAAGACCATCTAGTTCCAACCCCCCTGCCATGGGCAGGGACACCTTCCACTAGACCACGTTGCTCAAAGCCTCATCCAGCCTGGCCTTGAAGACATCCAGGGATGGGGCATCCACAGCTTCTCTAGGCAACCTGTTTCAGTGCTTCACCACCCTCTCTGTGAAGAACTTCTTCCTGATATCCAATCTAAAGCTCCCCACTTTCAATTTAAACCCATTCCCCTTTGTCCTGTCACTACAGACCCTTTTAAAAAGTCCCCCCCAGCTTCCTTGTAGCCCCTTCAGGCACTGGAAGGCTGCTAAAACATCTCCCCGGAGCCTTCTCTTCTCCAGGCTGAACAAGCCCATAATACCTAGATACCTAAAATCTTATTTAGATAAAATCTTATTCAGATAAAACAAACTTTTAGATACCTGAAATCAGCCAAGACACTATACAAACTAAACATTTATAATCCTATCCTGGAACAATCCTGTAGAAAAAACGCACACCCTTGTGCAGCCAGGTCAGGGCATTCATAGAGTCTATCTTAATGAAGCAGTTTTCATCAGTTTTCATCACACCTTCAAACTGTATGTTATGTGTCAGTCTTCGACAACTATTGATGTTTTCTGAACCCACCCCCTCAAATACATATGAAAGCCAAAAAATTCTTCTTGAAAAGAATGTCTTGGTGTATACAAGAAGATATTTTGCAAATTGTCCCAGTAACAGCCTTTTGCTGTAACACAGTAAGGTACAGTTAAGGAAGAGTTCTTCACCTACTGCTGAAATCAATTAAACCTCTTAATGTAAAATTTATTCTTCCTCCAAATACAGTGGGGCACTCACTCTTTGTTAAGAACCACAGTATTTTTATTCTTTCTCATTATTATCTACAGAAATTACGTCTTTTTTCATTATCTAAAGTCCTTTGTTATCTACAGAAACAGGAATTAGGATTCCCTGATAATGGAAAAAACCAATACTACGCACAGTGGGAAGTACAATACAGCTACACTCCACTGTCGCCGCAAGATGTCAACTAGAGCTAAATGGTTTTAGTAGTGTTGGTTAAGCACAGGATTCACTACACCCAGGCTCATGCCCACAGAGCCATTCAAGTGTTGCCTGAACTTCTGCCTGCCTGTTTTGCCACTTGAGGACTCCTGGACTACTGTACTTCCTACAAACTGGAGGACAAGTGCAGAGACACCAACATCCACCAGCATCAGCTCAGGCAGTTTGGCACTGCAGGGACTTCACCCGAATAATGCACAGAGTTCAAAATAGGTACCTTCATTAGTTTAGTAACAAGATAATTTTCCATAAGAAAAAATAAAAATACTAAAGTTTAAAACCAGAAGAACAGTACCATCTAGAGCTTCTTTTAATTCATCTTTGGTCCAAGCAACTTCTGTCATCAGGAGTCGGAGATAATACATTGCATGCTGGTGAGGCTGTTCAGCCCTGAAGTTGTTAAGCGATCTCATGTACTAAAACAAAACAGTGAAGTTCAAATTATAGAACCTCTTTCTAAACATAAAATATTAACCTTATACACTCAACTTGGTGCACCATCAAAAAGATACATTTCAAATGTCAAGAACACTGTATTGCTTGTAAGACCTGTTAAAAATTGTGTGAAGTTACCTTAGTAATAGTGTGGGGTTCTAAGCCTATGGATTAAGAAGTTGAAATGAACAAGAAATCAAATTTCTCCGTAAAATTAATGGCTGGAAATTAAATTATTGCAGTTAGACCTAGATGAGTATCTAGGTCAAGTCGCTCTACCCAGGAAACACGCATTCTAGGATGACTGTCTGGGGATGGGGGAACATTGCTAATAGAAAATGTATTTTGCTCCCAGTTGCTTCCCTGGGCTGACCTGGTTAGAAATACAGAGGAGCATCTGGGAAATTCTTTGCATTCTTTGCCTGGATGAAGGAGGTATGACAGAATAATCAGTGAGCTTCTCCAGATAAACCCCTTTCTAGTCCAGCTGCAACTTTACAAAATAAGCAAAACCTTTTTCCTCTACCAGAGGAACTGAGAAGTGTACAGTAATAGTCTTGGCAAGCTGTGATCATTTACAGCACAGGAGAAAAAGTAACTCATTTCAGGACGAGTGAGGAACAGTGAGCATGAAGTTGCTGAGGATGCATCCTTCTATCTACTCCAAGAGGAAGCCAGAAGCCAAGATCTCCCTTATCTGTCAGGTGTAGATATGAGGGGGAAAAAACTGCAATCTCCCCATCTGATGCGACTTTTTTGTATTTTGTCCTTATTTTACATAGCCTGTGTAACAGAAGTTTATAAAATGAGGAAACATGCACAACACTGTGACAAAGTTCAAGAGAAATGTAAAGATAACCAGGGAAACATCTTGAACTAAAAGAAAATTATCCAAAACGTATCATTCACAGACCTGTGGGGTGGGTTTTTTTACCTTGACATTGTTCACATCCAGTCAAAACTTTTCAGACAATTCGGGTACCTCAGGTACACAGAGCCCTCAATAAAGTGCTGCTGTAATACATCTACCTCACCTTTGATGTCCACCTGCTTAGAATTTCCTGCTAAATGAACTACAGATGGCCCTGGTATTTGTCTAGGCCAGTGACCTGTTCAAAAACCACCTGCAGCAGAGGATTCAAGTGAGACTATTGCAAGCATGGAGTGATCTTGCCCACAGCCCTAGCTCTCTCATCTACTGCAGATTATTTGCAAGCTTTCTGGGCCAGAAGTCAGTCTTCTCCCCAAGACCAGTCTAATCCTTGTGCGCTCATTTATTCCTCCACAACAACTCACAGCTATGAGTGCCAACATCGAATTTGCCCATTTTCTTTCTTTTACCTCTGTCTTGCTCTAAAAAACAGCACCTGAGGAACAATTATGTGTCTTGTTTGGCTTAGCACTGTTCGTAAATTTACTTCAGGAGCTGAAAAAAATTTAGATCTACATTATGTTCCATATATACATAGATTAGTCATTAAATTGAGGAAGTCAGACTTCCGAAAGTCAGCATGTACCTAACCAGCTGATTACTTTTGCACCAAAGGATCTTGGGTCAGGAGCAGAGCTCCTATTCCCATCTGGGGAGAAGAGATGTTGCATATCTTTTCAACACTTCCCTTCTCCCCTCATCTATTTCCCCTTCTTTTATGGCTTTCAAAGGTCCCACTGGGGCCTTTCCAAATTGTAAAAAAAGGGTATCAAGTTAAGATCCGCCTTGCTCCCCCTCAGATTTCTACTTATATCAAATCAAGCTGCAATCCCTTGATCAATCATAAGGAAGACCAACTCAGTATGATTCCAGGGACAGTTATTTTTAACCAAAGAATGTAATATAAACACTCCAGGGAACTCATGGCCACAAAAAAAGAAAAGCTTCCGCACTCTCAAAGAGGCAGAATTTCATTCTGGATTTCCATGGGTAATCAGCCCTCAGATTTATTTCAAGTCAATGCATTCAATTTTTAATTACTCTGCAATGCAAATTTCCCACGTAGCTTACCGCTTCCTTGATGATTTCAAATCTTTTTTCATCAATCTCAAAAGTAGCCATTTTCTCAATGATCTTCTTGAGCAATATATGTTGCTTGTCATTATAACCTTTCACAGAAAGCTATGGAAAAAGCGCATAATTTGCTTTAAATGCAGAAGATAAAAGAATAAAGCAATTACCAAGTCTTGTTTAGTTCAAGGAACAGTACACTTTTCAACACTTAATCTAAATTCAGTGTTACTCAACAACTAATTATGAAATAAAATCCCTTTACCCACCAAAAGATAACTAACTGATGAATATAATATTGCATATTTGCCCAGGAGTTATGAATGCAGAGAACTAATGTGATTTCACGTTGATGTAAGCAAACAGTACTCAGAATACAGGTTTTTAACGATTACAAGTATTGAGTACAGTCAACACTCTGGGAGCACTGAAATGGTTTTACTCTAGGTTTCTCATTTTAGTAATGAAATCTGGATTCACAGACTTCTTAAATATTCTCTGCAATTTACTTTTAACCTTGTTTCATGTTTATCTTGTTGCTCAAAAAATATTCTACACAAGTGGAAATAAACAGTATTACAAGAAAACTAGTACTCTCAACAGCAGCACAACTTATAACCAGGATGGTTCTCGGCTGAAACACTAAGGTGGTTAGTGAACAATCGTAATGAGATATTTGATCTGATCATACACATAATTTTGAAAGTATACAGGAAATAAACTTGGTCATTAATGAAAACTAACACAGAAACTCAAAAATGACTCTATGATTGCATTAAGCCACAGAGAATTTGTTACGGGGAAAAAAGGCATTTGGGGCCTATGGGAGAGAATCTTCAAAATTCGGTATCTGGAAACAGGAAATTGGATTTGTACCATTCAATTATTACGGGCAAAACTAAATTTTAGGACACAAAACAACATACAGGTGAATTCCTACTTTCCAGTAGTAATTTTTTCTTCTATAGTTGCTGAAACATACCTGAACTATGAACATGAACGTGAACCTGAAAAAGCTATCATGAATGGACTTGTGACAAAGGCTGATACGCTACGTTAGCCTAAGAACCCATCGGTGATTGTTTTCAGTATACCATCTGCCTTGCTTAAAGTATCAACACTGTACAGTTACACCTACCACCTATAAAACTTCTCAAGATATAGAAAAGAATATTAGAAGTTCCCAGGTATCAAAATGGAGTAAAGAGATTCTAATTCACAAGAAGAGAATCTTTACAGTAGAATATTAAGACCCTACAAAAACGAGCTATTATTTAAAATGACTCTAACCTTCTAAATTGTGACTGAAAACAAAGAATACTATACACCATCCACTGCCTCCCTCCCCGCCCCTTTTCTTTCCCCCTTAAGGAATCAAGTCTGAGCATGGAAACATCAGCAAGCTTTGAAACTGAGAATAGATAACCACGTTTGCAGTAAGTTAAGTGAATGCTACCAGGAAACCAGATTTGCATTGGATAAAAAACCCAAAATGCAGCACACTTTCATACAGAAAATGTAAGGACAATACACAGCACTTTCTCTTACTAAGATGCTTTAGAAAGTAATACTTCCACAGGAAATTTCAAAACACATTCTGATATAAAATGATGGTTCATAAAAGCTTTCAACAGAACTTCAAGGAGACTATTAAAATCTGCTATCATAGATCTCATAGGATAAGCCAAGTACGAAATAATCATTTATCATAATGTAAGCATTTATCAATTAAGTATTGTCAGCACTTTAAAACAGATTCTAAAACATGTACTAAAATCAAACACTAAGGAAAAAACATAGATGTCCAGCACCGCACTCTAATGAACACATGCACAATCCATTTCCACAGCTCACTACAGGAGAATTAGAGAATTTTAACAAAATCTGTATAGTTCAGATTCATTCAACAGTAAGGTTAGTATTTTTTATATAAAATGCAGCCAATAGTATTTTCAAGATTACCATGCAAGTAAAAAATGTGAACTAGAATGCAACAATTGCACTGCACACATGTTCACAAGACACTGCAATCTTACACAGGTCACTTAGTATTGTTTAAAATACACTGTTTTGCTTTGTGTTTAATTCATGAGATATATGCAAGGAAAAAAAACATTAACCATCTCCTTTAGAAATGCAGAAGTCAAATGTTTTCTCCAAGCTCAACAAATCCCAAGCTGTTTCACTTCCTCCTGCGTTTTTTTTTCTTACTTACAAGTATTGCATTCATTCCTGATGCAATGCCATAGATCAAACCTGAGAGGCGTGCTGCATATGTATACTCTTTTAAATCATCCTTCAATAACCTGATAAACAGGTATGTCATGTTGCAATGGAGAGGATCAGCATAAATGTAGCGACTAACAAAAAGAAAAACAAAAGAAATGCTTTGATACCTCAAGCAGTGACAAAGTAATGGATGAAGAAACATGACTGAAGAGTATGTATATGCAGCCTCATGATCAGTAGTTCCTGAACAGGAAAGCTGAGGTGTACCATTTATTTAACAGCATGAAAAAGGGGTATTCTACCCCATCAGTCAGAAAGACTTTAGTAGATATCTGACAAACTGAAGTAAATATGGAAGCTTGGATTAGGGTTTCTTTTTTTTTTTTTTAATGGAGGAATAAATCTTACAACTAATTAATTTCATGAATGATAAAAAATAAAGAAAAAATTTGCTTAATATGAGTGAAAAGATTGTTGAAGACTTTGAACAAAATTCAACTTAAAATTCAAATTAAAGAAAGGATGGTTAATAATCAAGACCAAAAGGAGTAACAGACTTAGACCCATTTTTTAAATAAAAGTCCTTCCATCAAATCAATATAAAGACGTTGATGAGTGGAAGTAGAAGGCTCTAAGCTTTTCCTTGATTTGGGTACTTACATACATCCCATAGATGGTATTTTGGAGATCATAGTTCAAGCCAGCTAGTTCTGCTGCATATGCATACTCGTTGAGGGAGTCTTTGAGTAGTTCAAGGTACAAATAGGCCATGTTACAATGCAAAGGATCCACGTAAGCAAATGGGCTGGAAGAAAATGTTGAAAGTAAAATATGCAGTTTAAAACTATTTCTCAGTTTCTTTTGGCCTTTTTACTTTGATCTGAAGGAAACAATATTTATTTTGAGTATGCTGACAGATACCATTACCAATGATTCCTATTTTGAAGCCAAATATGAGCATACCTGAAGATAATTATTTAGCTTGATTATGGTTTGAGCAATGCCTAAATATATGAAAATTCCAGAGATACTCTCTTATTTGTGCTTGTAAATCAACATGTTATATTTACTTTGCTGCACAGTCAGAATTCACCAGGAGTAAAATAAACTAAATACACCCTGAAGAAACAACATAATTTAACAGACCGAGATGAAAGCTCACATATTGAACATTAATTTAATTAATACTTCTACACTATCAGAAAACAAAGTCATTTTTATTACAAAAATTCAGATATTAGCAATTAGTGGTATGAAAAATAGGCAGAACACGCCAAGTTCTTCTCTGGAAAGAAGTTTGGCATACATCCATTTTCACAGCACCATAATTTTTTGTGTTATCTTTTTAATGGCAACAACTACACAAAGTCGATTGTTGTATTGGAAACATCTGATCACACACAATACTGTCACAAATTTAGCCAAAAAAAAAAAAAAAAGCAACTCAAAGACTCAAGTCATGTTTCAGCTGGGCTAATTGTTAAATATCTGTCTTTTAAAGATTTGCAAAGTCAAGACCAGTTACTTTTACTGTGACTGAATATTTATTTCTTAAAGTTTCTGAAGTGCACGTGAATTCTTAATCACTTTCACAGAAGTAACCTGCACTATCTAAACCACTTTGCTGTCAGGATATGGCTTACAATTCTGAACCTCATCATCTGCATTTATTTTCGCTAAGATGCCATCAATGGTCATATTCAGAGACATGCAATTATATACGTTTATGCCTATACAGCACAGTATTTCCTAGTGTATATACCAACATGAATCTAGTAAAACAAAGGTCACATCACCACAACACACATGCTGATAACTTTAAAATACATCACAAAGGTAGTTTTAGGAAGGGTCCTAGTAGTTTTTAGTAAGGCCTTGACTTCTTCCTTTTAGATTAAGAAAAGGAAGCATGGGAATAGATTAAAAAAAAAATTTTTTTAAACATCTATTTGAGAAGCAGAGATTGCTGTAGACTGAAATCTTAGACTAGGATATGCTTTTTTACTAACACTGGGTTAATTATTCTGGGCTTAGACTTGTGCTAACTTAAGCCAACAGTTCATTAAAAATACAGGACTCTGCTATTTTTCCCTGCAATGCGAATTTTCCCAAACTGAGCAATTGCAATACGCCCAAACACGCAAATCTAATTAATACTGAATTTTTTAATTAAGACTGAATTCAAAGTAAGATGTAGGTCAATCCTATGTTATCTTAAATCTTCCTCCAAACTCATTATATTCTTTTCCATTTTGATGCTAGAATAGGGACTTAAATCAGTTTGAGTGATTACCATGCCAGTATTAGTTGTAACTTCTGTATACTCATTTAGCTGGCAAAGGCCAACAGGGAGTTTTGAAAATAATGAAGACTATGAAATCATTAATCCTCAAGTGAAAAATAACAGTACAAAATTATAACAACGGTGTTCTGGGAGTTCATTTCTATTACTGACAACTTTGTAAAAAAATACTTATTTCTAGTTTACTTTTCTTTGACTAGACCTGAGGAAGCAGAACTCCTCCAACACTGGCAGTGTATTTGAGAACATATTAAAGTGTGGTCTTCAAACAGAGCTGTAAGTGACACAGCTGGAACCACCTCGGAAATGGTGATACTGGGTTACCTTATAAGCAACTCAAGTTGCTTGAAATATTTCTTAAACTGGGAGGTAGCAACACTTCGGTCAAAAATAATTAGCATTGTATTTTTAACCTCATCTCTCTAAACCTTGGGAAACTTGAAGTGCAGAGTTTATGACTGCCTTTAGAAAGCTTTGAAACTAACAACGCATTACACTGTTACTTTGCTTCCTTTTGTAAAAGGGTATTTGTTGAGTTCTTCAGTCATAATTCATACAAAGGCAAAAGCTATCATCATCCTTCAGGCTGGATGATTAAGTTCTATGTCAGAGGTTCTTACTGTGGTGCTTCTTTAATGTAACTCTTGCGCCATGTTTTCAGTTTTGGAACAAGGCAACTTCAAGAGGTTCACATAATCATACAAGTCCAGTGGGCACAGTCTGTTTGAGGGAGAAATCACCCTCACCAACTTCCTGTTAATTCATCTAGAAAGCAGTTGCCACTATAACATCTTGGTCAGGAATTCCTCCAATGATTTGTGATCAGGGCTGCAGTCAGAAGAAATCCTCCCAGTTTTTCCTGTCTATAGTGTGAAAAATTGTCGTAAACTGCTCCATGGCAGCACAGCCACCATATTCTGATTTAGAACTGAGGCTAAAACTTTTTATGAAAACTCAGGTTACTAAGATGGCTTCATTTACCAATTCACTTGGCCACAAAAACTATGGGTAATTCCATCGTGTCTCACGAATAAACACTACACATCTCACTGTTTCCTCCAGTGAGCATCAGCATGACCAGTCGCAAAAGAGAAAGATTCGCTAAGAATCATTTTAAAGTATCAAAACCAGACAAATGTGCTTACAACTTCTTTTGGAGCAACCGATGTCATCTACCTGGACTTCTGCAAAGACCTGACACTCTCCTGCATGACATACTTGTCTCTACATTGG